AAATTCGATGACGAGGAACCCACTTTGAGACTAATAATGGCTGGAGACGGCTTAAATGGGAAATGAAAAAAAACTTTAATATAAGTTTAACATGACAGCAAATGTACAACGTTTCGACAAGGTTTTGTCATCATCAGGTACATCAGGTACATTTGCTGTCATGTTAAACTTATATTAAAGTTTTTCTTCATTTCCCATTTAAGCCGTCTCCAGCCATTATTAGACCTTTTATGTCTGTTGGTTCTGTGTCTTTGACAAACGACACTGGCAATCCCATACCCATACGTATTCTACGTGATACTGGGGGCGACTAAATCGTTGTTGTTAGAAGGTATATTGACTTTAGGTGCGAGTTCTGCCACTGGTGAGTCTGTTATTACTCAGAGTATTGAGGGTGGCTTTGTTAATATTCCTCTTCATAACATTTATTTGGCATCATACCTAGTTTCGGGACCAGTTGTAGTTGTAGTAAGACCTACTCTCCCAATTAAGGGTGTATCATTATTGTTGGAAAACGATTTGGCTGGGGGAAACGTTGTTGCCGAACCTAAAATGATTAGTGAGCCAATCACTGTTTCATCTAAGGATGATGTTGTAGATGAGGAGAATCCCGATGTGTTTCCTACGTGTGATGTGACTCGAGCTCAGGCTAAGAAATTAAGTCAAAAACAAATGATAGACATGAATTCAGAGGACGATATTATAGATTTGTCTCATACATTTTTTTTATCCGACGAGGATCTTGTGGATAATTGTCCTTCTGATGATTCCTCAGTGAGAAATGACGATGGACGTGAAGGATCTGATTCACCTGGTGAAGTTCCGTTTACTAAAAGCAAACTGATCACCGAGCAAGAAAAATAACTGCAGATCTCTCCACTATTTAAATATGCACTCCCAAAAGATGAACTGGAGAAAGTTCCAAATGGTTTTTTTTTTCAAAAATAGTGTGCTTATGAGGAAATGGAGACCACCAGTTGTGCCAGCTTCAGAGGACTGGGCTATTGTTTATCAAATCGTTGTTCCCAAAGCATATCATTCTGAAATATCGAAAGTTGCCCATGAAATCCCCATGAGAGGTCATTTAGGTGACAACAAGACATGTGACAAAAGTATGAGAAATTTCTTTTGGCCAAAAATTAGCCAAAACGTTTTTTAGTGTTCAGCTTCTAGTTCTTCTCCTTTTAACACTTTTTGTCTTAATACATTAACTACGGGATCCTCATTCTGTTCTTTGATTATATGATCTAAATCCCAATAAGCTTCGTTGTTGTATAATCCAGTTTTTACGTTTTTATCGGATTAATGACATGTTTCTCTTTATTTTCAGCATCATCCACCCTAATTCTATTCAGTGCATCTACGTTAGGCCTGTAATAATAAAGAACATCTAGATAATCTAGACGATGGGTCTTTCAATGTCATTAACCATCCTAAAGGGGTATGATCTGTAATAATGGTCAATTTTCTACCATACAGATAACAACGGAATGTTTTAATGGCATGTACTACAGCTACGCATTCCTGTTCCATTATTGAATAATTCATTTTAGCTTTTTCTAACTGTCTACTTTGATAAGCAATAGGGCGTTCCTTTCCATTCTCATCTAACTGAGA